CTCTCCAATTTTCCCAACACCATTTATTGAAGAGACTGTCTTGCCTCCTTTGTCAAATATTAATTGAGCATATTGGTTCGGGTCAATTTCTGGGTTCTCTATTCTATTCCATTGATCTATATGTCTGTTCTTGTGCCAGTACCAGGCAGTTTTGAGAACAGTGGCTTTGTAATACAGCTTGATATCAGGTATTGAGATCCCACCTACTTTGTTCTTCTTAAATTTTGATTTTAAAATGGAAGCAGTATAAAATATATTCCCATTAAACTCAACGTTATTGTTTTTATGACACATTTCAATTTAACCATGGAAAATCAGTGTCTGAATTAAGATATGGTGTGAGATTAAAATGCACATCATACTTCATAGACTTAGTTTACATTAAATATTTTATTAGTATTTTACATTGTTTACATGTTGAAATAATATTTGACCCATTAAGTTAAATAAAATATTAAAAATTTATCACTTTTTGTGTTTAACATGTGTCTACTAGAAAATTTAAAATTACATATGTGACTCAAATTTTTACTGGACAGCACTGATATAATGCATCCATATTTTTTTACAGTCTTATAGTATTCCATTGTATAGCGTACCCTTCTTTGTTTAACCAGTCCTCTATTGATGCATACTTAAGTTGTTTTCAGTCTTGTACCATGAAAAATGCAGAAATACTTAACCTAGTCCAGTGATGGTGAACCTATGACACGCGTATCAGAGGTGACATGCGAACTCATTTTTTTGGTTGGTTTTTCTTTGTTAAATGGCATTTAAATATATAAAATAAATATCAAAAACATAAGTCTTTGTTTTACTATGGTTGCAAATATAGAAAAATTTCTATATGTGACACAGCACCAGAGTTAAGTTAGGGTTTTTCAAAATGCTGACACGCCGAGCTCAATAGGTTCGCCATCACTGACCTAGTCCATGCATCACTTCATACATATACAGGTTGATCTGTGAATGAATTCCCAGTATTGGGGTTGCTGTACTAAAGAATAAATGCATTTGTACATTTGATATTGCCAAATTGCCCTCCATACGAGCTGTACCATTTCCACTGCCCCAGCAAGGTGTTTGAGTGCCAACTCCCTATGTACTGCCGTTTTAAACTAGATCTACTGTTTTTTTATATAATAACTAGAGGCCTGGTGCACGATTCACACACCATTGAGGTCCCTCGGCCTGGCCTGCAGGATCAGGCCAAAACTGGCTCTCTGACATCCCCCAAGGGGTCCTGGATTGCGAGAGGGTACAGGCCAGGCCGAGCGACCCCACCAATGCACAATCGGGGCGGGGAGGGACACGAGAGGTTGGCCAGCTGGGGAAGGACTGCGGGAGGGCTCCAGGGCGTGTCCAGCCTGTCTCACTCAGTCCCGATCGGCTGGACCCCAGCAGCAAGCTAACCTACTGGTCGGAGCATCTACCCCCTGGTGGTCAGTGCACGTCATAGCAACTGGTCAACCAGTCAACTGTCTGCCCCTGGTGGTCAGTGCACATCATAGCAAGTGGTTGAACGGCCTTAGCATATCACTAGCATATTACGCTTTGATTGGTTGAACAGACGACCGGACACTTAGCATATTAGGCTTTTATTATACAGGATGACCAAATCTCTCTTTGCTAATTCCAAGAGAGTTTTAAGAAGAAATCACAAATAGTTTGCCTAACTTCATTGTGTATTAAAAATAAGAAGTCACCCTAGCTGATTTGGCTCAGTGGATAGAGCATTGGCCTGTATACCGAAGACTCCCGGGTTTGATTCAGGTCACAGGCACATGCCCGGGTTGCAAGCTCTATTCCCAATAGTGGGTGTGCAGGAGCAGCCAATCAATGATTCTTTCTCATCATTGATGTTTCTCTCTCTCTCATTCTCCCTTCCTTTCCAAAATCAATAAAAATATTTTTTATAAAATTATTTTTAAAAAAGAAGAAAACGAACTATTGATGATGAAACTCTTAGAGTCAACACTTTACAATTGACTCTTCTTTCTAATGAAAATGTCAAGGTATTAACCCTACACTGTTTACCTGGGCTATAAATTTTTATGAAAGTTTTATCATAGATTTAGGAATGGAGATTTTGTTAGGGTTCCAATGGATAAAGGACAACATTTTCTTTTGTTTTCCAAGACTGAGAGATTTCCCGAGTTTCTACAGCAGCCGTCCCTGGGCTGGGTAGACTGACATTACCTGGTAGAAAGGCAGTGTGCGTGCAGGTTTTACATACTGTCAGAGTATCAGTTTCCTGTCAGTGTATTTGTTTTACTAAATGCTAACCATATTCAAACTTAACAGCCTGCTTAACTGAGGAAATATTCTGACAACATAATTGAAGTTCATTAGCTGCCATAATCATTAGAGTCAATTCTATTTACTTTATTAATAAGCTACAGAAAAAGTTCATCTTTCCGTTAAGATCCAACTGTTGTCCAGCTTTTGAGACCTGTGTGCCCTCTACTACCCTTTGCCTTTTATGTTTGTTTTTCTCAGATTGAACTAAACACTCAGCGTCTAATCTAAAAACAAATTGCTTCAACTTTCTGTTTATAGGAATCTGACAATAAGATTCTTATGAAGAGAAAACTCACTGTGTAGTTAGGATGTGTCAGATAAGTTAATAAATTAGCATAATGGAAATCCTTGGCTTTTAGGAACATAAACTCATCTTTTGGCAAATCCTAGAGGAACAGAAGAGTATTTACAGCTAGTCTGACCACAGACATTTACTATCTTTAATAGTTTGTTTTCAATATGGAAAGATCAAGAAAAGAAATTAAAAGGTGAGACTATACGTGTTGATTGTGCAGAAAGAGCACTGGGATACGGGGACATATGTATCAGGAGATCATCCTGGCAGTTGGGATACCATCTCTGTGCACACATCTATATATCTACACTAATAAAAGAGAAACATGGTAATTAGCATATGACCGCTACCCTTTTCATTGGCTAATCAGTGAGTATATGCAAATTAACTGTCAGCCAAGATGGCGGCTGGCAGCCAGGCACTGAAGCGAGCATGAGGCTTGCTTGTTGCGGACTCCAACATTCCCCGCCTCACTTGCCGGCCTCTCAACTGCAACTCTAAGCAACTATGTACTATGTTGCAAATAAGAAGCTAAACAAAACACCAGAAACCAGCCGGACTGAAATCCAGCCGGACCGAAACATTGTATCAATGTTTTCAGCAGCGAGGCCTCAGAGCTAAAGCTGGCCCAGAATAAAAAAAAAAAAAAAAAAGAAAAAAGAAAACAAGGAGCGGTTGGAAGCTTTAGTCACTCGCCAGCCGGAAAACAGCCCTCAGCCCCTCATCCAGACTGGCCAGGCACCCCAGTGGGGACCCCCACCCTGATCCAGGACACCCTTCAGGGCAAACCAGCCAGCCCCCACCCATGCACCAGGCCTCTATTCTATATAGGAAAAGGGTAATATGCCTCCCAGCACTGGGATCAGCGTGACAGGGGGCAGCGCCCAAACCCCCTGATCGCCCTGTGGCTCTGTGTGTGACAGGGGGCGGGGCCACAACCTCCCTTTCCGCCCTGCTCTGTTCATGACAGGGGAAGGCACCCCAACCCCCTGATCAGCCCTGCTCTGTGCCTGATAGGGGGGAGTTCCCTAATCTCCTGATTGCCCTGCGGCTCTGTGTTTGACAGGGTGCAGCACACCAACCCCCTGATCAGCCCTGCTCTGTGTGTGACAGGGTGTGGCGCCCTAACCCCCCCCCCCCCACGGGCCCTGCTCTGTGTGTGACAGGGTAGAGCCATAACCTCTCCATCGGCCCTGCCCCAAGTGTGACAGTGGTGGCGCCCCAACCCCCTGATCGGCCCTGCTCTGTGGGTGATAGAGGGTGGCACCCCAACCCCCCTCCACGGGCCTTACTCTGTGTGTGACAGGGTAGAGCCATAACCTCCCCATGGGCCCTGCTGTGTGTGTGACAGGGGTGCAGCGCCCCAACCCCCTGATCCACCCTGCTCTGTGTGTGACAGGGGGCGGTGCCCCAACTCCCCTATCAGCCCTACTCTGTGAGTGACAGGGGGGAGCTCCTCAACCCCCTGATTGGCCCTGCTCTGTGAGTGACAGGGGGCGGTGCCCCAACCCCCTGATGGGCCCTGCTCTGTGTGTGACAGGGTATGGAGCCCCAACCCCCCTGATGGGCCCTGCTCTGTGAGTGACAGGGGGCAGCGCCCCAACCCCCTGATGGGCCCTGCTCTGTGAGTGACAGGGGGCGGTGCCCCAACCCCCTGATCGACCCTGCTCTATGCATGAGAGGGGGTGGCGCCAGAACCTCCCCATCGACCCTGCCTTGAGTGTGACAGGGGGCGGTGCCCCAACCCCCAATCAGCCGTACCCTGAGCGTGACTGAGGGTGGCATTGCAACCTCCCAATCCGCCCTGCTCTGTGCATGACGGGGCAGCGCCCCAACTCCCCAATCAGCCCTGCTCTGAGCCCGACCAGGGGCTGCACCTAGGGATTGGGCCTGCCCTCTGCCACCCGGGAGCAGGCCTAAGCCAGCAGGTCGTTATCTCCCCAGGGCTCCCAGACTGCGAGAGGGCACAGGCCGGGCTGGGGGACCCCCCTCCCCCCACCCCCCGAGTGCACAAATTTTTGTGCACCGGGCCTCTAGTATATATATAAGAGCCTAAGCGACGGAACGACCGGTCGACCAGTCGCTATGACACAACCCTGACCACCAGGGGTCAGACGCTCAGTGCAGGAGCTGCCCCCTGATGGTCAGTGCACTCCCACAGCCAACCTCCCGCGGTCCCTCCCCCTGGCAGCCAACTTCCCACGGTCCCTCCCCCTGGCCGGCCAACCTCCTGCAGCCCTGATCAGCCCCGATCGCCAGCCAGGCCGAGGGACCCCACCTGTGCACGAATTCATGCACTGGGCCTCTAGTTATAGATAAATAACCACACAGCTTTCTGCACTACAGCTACTCTTCACATCCCTTTTCCCTTTTATTGCTAATTTTGTTAATTGTTTTTTTTCAGGAAGGGTTTTCACTCATTGGTAGCAAGAACTGGTTGAAGATTGTGAGACGCATGGATTGTCTGTTGTTTGGAACAACGATAAAGGCAAGATACTGTGTGGCCAACTGTTTTTAAGCAAATGACCACACCCTTCTCATTTTCTATGTGCACATGGGGGATGTGGGAGTTTCTCACAGCAGGCGAGATGGTACTGGAATAATACACATGTTTAAGAACGGTTCGCATCATGAGCAGAACATGAAACAAGGACTGTAGAAAGGCAGAAGCCAGTTAGTAAGAGGATGTTACTGAGGAGTCAGGGCTCTGACAGATCTGTCTGAGAAAGCTGGGCAGCCATGCTCCATCACCCAAGCACAATGCGAAGGGAAGTGGACTGTATCGTTTGCCTTACTGGATGTTAAAAAGTTGTGTATTTTTGACTCAGTGGTTAGAGTGTCAGGCCAGGCACAGATGGGTTGCAGTTTTGATTCCTGGTCAGGGCACGTACCTGGGTTGCAGATTCCATCCTGCCCTGGTGGGGGCATGTGTGGGAGGCAACCAATCAATGTGTCTCTTTCACATCCATGTTTCTCTTTCCCTCCCTCCCTCCCTGTAAAAAGTAATGGAAAAAATATCCTCAGGTGAGGATTAACAACAACAACAAAAAGTTGTGTATTTTTTAGTGCTTCACTGAATGTATCTTTTCGTTTTTTTCTCTTTAATATTAAAAATTAAATTCATTTTTTATATGCTTTCTACCTCTATTAAACATAAAGAATAATCCTCACCAAAGAAACATGTGGACGAATCACCTGGATTGTTTTCTCTCTGAAATAGCTATAAAAAAACCAATCTGTTAACATTCACTGAATAGATAATATTGAAATTTAGGTGAAAGATCCTAATTTCTAATGGCTCATAAACTGAAAGTTGGAAGAGGTCTTTAAGAGCATCTAAATAGAAAGGACTCACCCTGCAGTACACAGGTCCTCCAAAGGATCCTCAGAGAATCCAGGGGTCCACGAACTGCATGGATTTCCACTGACCTCTAATTGAAATTTAACTTTTCCTTCAATTATGAATGTAGGCAGCAGCCCAGTCGTATTAGACTTTTGCACCAATAGAAATCACAGATATTTTCATATCCATCACAGTTGGATATTATGATATCTGACGTGTCATTTATGCTCATCACTACCTCAGAATTATGGTGGTTATTCATCCTAGGAATAAGATCTTTTTATTGAGCATGTTAATAAGAAAGCATAGGTATTATTAGTTCACACAAAAAATTAGTATGTTAATATTGTAATAAACCATTTCAGTATAATTGGCTTTCTTTGTAATCTTATGTATTTTGTGTAATTAAAAACATTGTTCTAAGAAGGGGCCCGCTGGCCTCACCAGATTGCCAAAGCGGTCTGGAGCACATATTCAAATTTATGAACCCGTGACTTCCTTTTACACAGGAGGAAAGTGAATTCAACCTTAGCCACAGCCACAGTTATAACCAACTGTCAGAGAACGGGGCCACCCATTAGTCTACTGACTCCCAGCCAAGGATTGTGTCATGATGAATAAATGTATATGTTTTTTAAAAAAGTTACACCATGCCATATGTCTGATACTTGAGGTTTAATTTTTTCCTGATTATATATTATTATTTAAATTTTAACTAACTGTAAAGAGCAAAATAAAAACCAGCTGTAATTTAACCAGTCAAAAATAATAATTATATTAACAACAAAAAGCTGGTTATCAGTGGGTAAGGGGGGTTGGGGGAGGATGAAGAGGGTAGAGGGAGTCAAATATATACTGACAGGAGATGAGACTGGATGGTGAGCACACAGTAGAGTATACTGATATATTTTAAAAATGTACTCATGAAACTTATGTAATGTTATCACTAGCCAATATTACCCAAATAAATGTAATTAAAAAACAATCATATTCACATCTTGAAGCTTTTACTAGGCATATGTATTATACCAGCATTCAGATACATGTGACAGAAAATCCAGGTACAGTGGGGCCTTGACTTACGGGTGTCCCGACTAACGAGTTTTTCGAGATACGAGCCGTCTCTCAGCCGATTTTTTGCTTTGAGTTGTGAGCTAAAATTCGGGTTACGAGCCAGCTTCAGATACCCCACCGCTAGTTGGCGCAGCGAACGTCACAGTGAACGCCACAACATCAGCCCAGCATCACATGTCTCACTCGTTCACAATTGATTTGACATACGAGTAATTTGAGTTACGAGCTCTGTCACGGAACAAATTAAACTCGTAAGTGAAGGCCCCACTGTATAATGGCCCCCAAAATAGGGTTTTATTATTATTATTATTGCTAAATAAGAAATCCAGAAACAGGCAGTGCTAGCTATCATTGGCCCAGCAACTTCACAGTGCCAAGGTCAACATCTTTGCAATTCTCTTGGCCTCTCCCTCACATTTGCAAAATGGTACTACAGCTCTATTTCATTTCCATTCAAGGAAGGCCAACTTCATCAGTTCATTTCCTATATAGCTCTCTATCTCCCACAACCCCTAGGAGATGTCTACTTCTGTCTCATGGACCAGAAAAAAACATTGTAATCAGGCCATCCCACATGGTAAAATGAGTGTTTGGCTTTTCTAGCCTGAGCTGTGGATTGGCTCATGGCACTGAACAGTGTCTGCCATGTAGATACTTACAAATTTGGGATTATAGGATATAGAGTGCTTTGTATCCTGCTCTCTTGTCATGTAACATTTATATCAGAAGCATTATGCCAAGTCATTTTTTTTTAGTCTTTGAAAATATGATTTTTCATGGCTACGTAGCATCTTTTTGTTTGGATGCACCATGATTCAATTAACAAATTCTTAACTTTTCACTGTTATAAATAAGTTTTGATTGTCATAAGAATTTATTTACAGTGTTCTTGAGATAGAAGTCCTAGAAATTTGAATATTTACTTAGTAAATTTTCCCTCCAGATAAATTGTCCACTTCTACAGCAGTAGCAATCCTATCTAATAAAGAGGTAATATGCAAATTGACCATCACTCCAACACACAAGATGGCCAGCAGGGGAGGGCAATTGGGAGGGACCAGGCCGGCAAAGGAGGACAGTAAGGGGTGACCAGGCCAGCAGGAGAGGGCAGTTAGGGGCGACCAGGCCTGCAGGGGAGGACAGTTAGGGGCAACCAGGCCGGCAAAGGAGGACAGTTAGGGGTGACCGGGCCAGCAGGGGAGGGCAGTTAGGGGTGACCAGGCCAGCAGGGGAGGGCAGTTAGGATCGATCGGGCCGGCAGGGGAGCAGTTAGGCATCGATCAGGCTGAAAGGGGAGTGGTTAGGGGGTGATCAGGCTGGCAGGCAGAAACGGTTAGGGGCAATCAGGCAGGCAGGCAGGCGAGCAGTTGGGAGCCAGCAGTCCTGGATTATGAGAGGGATGTCCCAGATTGGAGAGGGTGCAGGCTGGGCTGAGGGACACACACACACACCCCAGTGCATGAATTTCATGCACCAGGCCTCTAGTCTATAAGAATGCTTGTTTATCCAAATCCTTTCCAATAGAGTGATACAGTTTACATTTAAAAACTTGTTTCCAATTTGATAGGCTAAACTGAGCATGTTCCTTTAATTTGCATTTCTTTGGTAACTAATGAGAATAAACATTTTTTTGTGTTTGTTAGTTATCCATATCTCGTCTGTGAATCGCCTGCCTACTGCTTTTGCCTAACTTTCCTCTTCAGAGTATTTAGATACTATCTGTAGGGAGATCGCATGTTATGGATGTGTATAGATTACATGTTACATAGAAATATATATTTATGTAATTTGTGCAGCTAAATAATTTTCTACATAATATTTATGTATTTATCATATAATATATAGATTTTTAAATATTTAAGGTTAGGAAATTTTTGCCTGGTGTTATATGAGTGGTACTCTTTATCCCAGATATATTTCTAGCTGCTTATTATTGGATTTTTTTCTGTATTATTTAGCTTCCTTACTAAATTTTTATTAACTCTGATAATTTATTAATTTCTAGGAAAGTAATTTTATAATTTACAATGATAATTTTTTTTATTTCCAGTAGTTTATGCATATTACTTTTCTCACCTTACTGAATTACCTAGACCTTCCAGAACACTGTAGTTATATGGTTAGTGTCATCCTTGACATCTTGCTGACCTGAATGAGCAGAAACATTTAGACATTAAGAACATTTCTTGCTGTTGATTGGATATTCTTTACCATGTAAGGGAGATATTCTTTCAGTTATAGTTTACTAGAGGTCTGGTGCATGAAATTCGTGCACGGGTAGGGTCCCTAGGCCTGGCCAGCAATCAGGGCCCATCTGTGGGGCAACCGGCAGGGTGATCAGGGGGCCCCCTGCTGGCACCCGCCTTGGCTGGCCTGGCGCCGACTGCTCACCGGACCCACCCCCTGCTGCCACTGCCAGTTAGGCCCTGTGGGCTGGGGGCAGCTTCTGCATTGAGTGTCTGGCTCCTGGTGGTCAGTGTGCATCATAGCGACTGGTCGTTCCACCAGTCATTCCACCATTCAGTCAATTTGCATATTAGGCTTTTATTGCATAGGATTTGCTAATACTTTCATCAGGATTACATATTAAATTTTATTCAAAGCTTTTTGACACCTATCAAGATATTGTTTTTTACTTTGGTTTATTGACTTTATCCTATATAATAAAAGGCTAATATGCAAATTGACCGAACGGCAGAATGACTGGTCGCTATGTTGTGCACTGATCACCAGGGGGCAGATGCTCAACACAGGAGCTGCCCCCTGGTGGTTAGTGCTCTCCAACAGGGGGAGTGCTGCTCACCCAGAAGCCCTGAGCTGGGCTCACTGCTGGCGAGCACAGCGGCAGTGGTGGGAGCCTCTCCCACCTCCGCAGCAGTGCTAAGGATGTCTGCCTGCCGGCTTAGGCCCACTTCCCATGGGGAGTGGGTCTAAGCCATCATTCGGACATCCCCTGAGGGCTCCCAGACTGCGAGAGGGCGCAGGCCAAGCTGAGGGACCCCCCCCCCCCAAGTGCACGAATTTCATGCACTGGGCCTCTAGTATATTAATGTTGAACCAACAGATTCTTCTTTTTGCCTTACCTGGCAAAATGTATCTTTGGTGTTTCTTGCCTTGGGTAACTCTAGTTAACCAGGTATTCTGTAATAAATGACATTTGTTTAAATTGACAAAAGTAGTATTTTGAAATAAAATTTTCAATCTTTTAACAACAATTTAATATAACATAAATCCTGTGATAATAAAGATTATATTTCTTTTCTCTCTGGCTGAAATAAATAGTTTGTATAAATTCTGCCTATTTGTACTTCCTTTTGTCCAGGAATTTTGATCAGAATGGTCCTGGCAGATTGGCTAACAGTTGACACATAATTCCTTTTTCCATTGATTTTTAGAGACAATGAAAGGGAGGGAGGGGGAGAGACAGAGAGAAAAAAACACAAGCATCAATGTGAGAGACACATTAATGGGTTGCCTCCCTCAAGGCAGGGCAAGGAAGAACCTGTAACCCAGGTATACGCCCTTGATCAGGAATTGAGCCCTAGACCTTTCGGTATACAAGCCAACGTTCTAACCACTGAGCACACCAGCAGGGTCATAAAACCCTTTCTGAAGGGACTTTGTTTCAAAGGAATAAACCCAAACCATTGTTCTCTTTACTTCTCACCCTAGTTAACTCTCTGAAGAATTTTTTTTTTATGATTTTGTCTAGTCTAGCTTTGGTTTCAAAGCAAAGGATCAAAGAAAAGCTTAGGTCCCTTTTCTGGTTAAGTCCTTTCTCTCTCCCCTGCCCTCCATTTCCTATAATAGAGTAATTCACTACTCAAGGTGGGGAAACTGCTCCATTTGGGGCTCTAGTGGTGATGGGAAACTTACAGATCTGAGTGACTAACCTAAAACCAGAGGGAAAACCCCCACTGAGGCCTCTGATGCCTCCGGGCCTCCTCCTGTGTGGTGCTAGCTGGGCCCTGTGCCTTCCGTGTGCAGAGACTGGAATGTCAGCTGTACAGCCTGTGGCTTCAGGCTCCATGTGCAGAGTCAGAATTTGGGGGAAACCTGACTTTCTTGTGAGTACACGAAGATAGTGTGAAGAGACAAGCACTTATCCTTAACTTCTGTTTCTTTAAGGAGTCTGTATAAAAGAGGATTTTCTATTAGTTGTAATAACTTGAAATTAAGTGTTTGAAGTAGGGTGAGAACATTTAACATGTAAGTCACCACTTAACATATACTAGTAGTAACTTTGAGCTAATCGCATAGAAACTGAGACTAGCCCTGGGCGGTTTGGTTTAGCTTGTGGACTGAAGGATCCCGGGTTTGATGCCGGTCAAGGGCATGTACCTCCATTGCAGGCTCAATCCCCAGCCCTAGTCTGGGTGCATGTGGGAGGCAACCAGTCGATGTGTCTCTCTCACATCGATGTTTCTCTCTGTCTCTCCCCCTCCCTTCCACTCTCTCTAAAAATAAGTGGGGAAAATACCCTTGGATGAGGATTAAAAAAAAAAGAAAAAGAAACTGAGACTATACATACCACTTTCCCTCTAAGCAAAGGGAAGCACTCACTAGAAGACCCTGAAGTAAATAAAAGTGATATGACAAGGATCACTTAAAATATATTAGAATGTTTCTTTTTCACATTTTTTCATGGCTGTTACTATATATTTGAAAACTTTCCATTTTACAGCAAGTGAATTGAAAAGTCTTTTTGACTTTTTATCATGGCATAAAAAGAAATCTCATCAAGATTTTCAACCTAGAAATCTTTTTTGTTAACCCAGTGGCAGGTTTTCCATTGTACTATCCCATAGTACTGAGGATGTGGTGGAGATGTAACTCATTTTCAGATTTTTCCTGATGTACCTTGGTTTACTTTGGGTCCTCATGCCGTGAAGTGGTGCTTATGGCTGCAGATGATAAACTCGAATTCTACCTGAGAATTTTACAGAAGGAAACATGCCGAGGCTTCAGTCAGGCTATCAGACATGAAGCCTCCCTCTCATTCCCTGGAACTCCATCCCAGAGAAACCCTGACTCTCCAAACCCCTTTGTATGTATGCCACATGGAGACACCACTAGACTAATACAATTGGTCTGAGGTTTTTGCCATTTATATACTTAATAATTATCTGTTTCTTACAGTTTTTCATCTAGTTATTAGCTATAATGTTTAATGTTATTTAACATTAAAAAGGTTATGTAATCTCAAAAGGTTATGTAATTACAGAATCATAATAGAAATGGCTAATATAAAGTACTTCATGTAGATGTCTTCACAGAGTCTAAACCAGAGTGAATTGGAAACATCTAATTGAATGTAAACAAGAAGTCAGCTCAATTTCACAAATAAGATAGGTAGTATTACCAAAAACAGAATGTATAATTCTCTTGTCAGCTCTTTTCCTTTTCTTAGGGAAAGTTTGCTTTCAGTTACTCTTGATAATTTGGGGATTATCCATCTAAGAGAAAAGTGACCAAGGAAGTAAGAGGCACTGATGAAATAAAAATTACAAACGACTGTAGTGTAAGAAGAATCTTCACCCTCACTGAAATCAGAGGAATGACATTCCAAGATAAAAATCTATGTTAATCTAATAGGTTAAAAAAAGTAAAAAGAGCCGTAACCAGTTTGGCTCAGTGGATAGAGCGTCGGCCTGTGGACTGAAAGGTCCCAGGTTCGATTCCGGTCAAGGGCATGTACCTTGGTTGCGGGCACATCCCCAGTAGGGGGTGTGCAGGAGGCAGCTGGTCGATGTTTCTCTCTCATCGATGTTTCTAACTCTTTATCTCTCTCCCTTCCTCTCTGTAAAAAATCAATAAAATATATTTTTAAAAAAATTAAAAAGAATACTAATCTCTGGTGTTGGAGAGTGCAGGGAAATGGGCATAAGGACTCTAAGGGTAGGAGGGTACCTGGTACTTTTTTGCCCCACGCAATTTGGCATAAGGCACCCAAATGCACGGATCCTTTCACCAGGCATTCATGTACAAAGATGTGTGTGTAAAGTGCTTATCAAAGCTTGTATTTTATAATAGTATAATAGGGAAAAGGGCAGGAAATAAAGTGTTTGTCAATAGCAGGTCAATTAAAGCAATACTCTTTAGCCATTAAAAGTAATGAAGTATACTTCTATTTTTATACTTATTGTGAAATAATTAGGTTACAAAAGAGTAGTGTAAAATGTTATATATATGACCTATATATATTGTGTATAATATATAGTATATATATATAGTATATATATATATATATATATGTGTGTGTGTGTGTGTGTGTGTGTGTGTGTGTGTGTGTGTATGTTCTAATATATTATACCCTAATATAATCTAGGGTGAATGCTCCCTTAGCCATACATACCTCTTTCCCTCTAAGCAAAGGGAAGCACTCACTAGAAGACCCTGCAGTAAATAAAAGTGATATGACAAGGGTCACTTAGAATATATTGGAATGTCTCTTTTTCCTATTTTTTCATTGTTGGAGGGGTAATGGTTAACAGCTTACTTTTATACTTAGGGGGGAAATTACATGAATTAAAAAATGAAGAGAACCCAGCAATGGCAGTAAAGGGGTTGCAGGTCTATTCTGAATGTGACAGCTGACCATGCCAAGGGTTTTCTGTAACCTAAATACAGGGCTTTGCTTCATGGCTTCATCTAAACATTTAAATAGTGGGATTGTGAAGTGGAGAATCAGGGGGTTTTTGCTTACAGGAATTTACAGAATTTGGCTGATTGTGGTTACATTTTCCAGTTAGCAGTGTGATTTATGGATTTAATCAATGGAAAGTGTTGTCACTAAGTTAGCATCTGAATTTCTTCCCAGAAGAAATTGAATAAAAGTTCACAATACAGACGATCCCATTTGGGGTGACTTTTATGCAAGTTGACTTCTCTAAAATGGGCAGAATATTAGACTAGAAAAGAGGAAACTACTTCTCTTAAAATAATGGGTTTTTGTGGTTGCTATTGTTATAATTTAAAAAATATATATTTTTTATTGATTTTTTTACAGAGAGGAAGGGAGAGGGATGGAGAGTCAGAAACATCGATGAGAGAGAAACATCAATTCAGCTGCCTCCTGCACACTCCCCACTGGGGATGTGCCCACAACCAAGGTACATGCCCTTGACCAGAATCGAACCAGGGACCCTTCAGTCCGCAGGCTGACGCTCTATCCACCGAGCCAAACCAGTTAGGCCTAATTTTTTAGCTCACAATCAAATAAAGTTGATGTAGTTGTCAGATTCAAAAAATTTTAATTGCATTTCTCTCAAATTTGCTTATTTGCCAAGGGATGTAAGTCATATAGCAGATTAAAGGCAACATGTGATTCTGTGTGGTGTGAGGGTAGGAACCTGGCCTCTGTAGAGATAAAGGATACTACAGATCACTGACATGGCACACATCAGCGTTTAGCATCAGTCTGTCTGTCCCATTCCCCAGTCTTGTTTTTCAGATTCATTGACTTGTTTAACATGGCATTTACCTGGTTTGTTCTTTTATATACTCAGCTTAAAAAAATTTTTGTTGAGGAAGGAATATGCTGTATTATCTTCACTGATTTTTACTTCAGGAATTAAAAGCTATCTAATCTTTATTCAAAAGTAAGATAAGACATTGATCTTTTACTGCAGTCAGTATGTCACCTCCTGGTCTGTATGAGATGGGCTTTTCCATTTTCACTAATATCTGTTCCCTGAAGGAAATGAATTTTAGTAAGAGGAACAGCTCCCAAAAGTGGGCAGACAACTGATTATTAGCTTTTCTATACCCACATCAACAATCTAGGGTGAATGCTCCCTTGTCTGTACCTCTTTCCCTCTGAGCAAAGGGAAGCGCTCACTAGAAGACCCTGCAGTAAGTAAAAGTACAGTGATATGACAAGGGTCACTTAGAATAACTTTCTATTTGTCAAACAGAACAAGAGTCGCATGTTCCGGGTACAGTTCAGTGGAGAGTCCAAGCAGCAGGCGCTGGAGCACTGCAGCAGCTGTGTGCAGAGCCTGGCCCAGTACATAACCGTGCAGGTGCTGGACGGGAACAGCCGGGATCCTGGCCCACTGAGAGCAGGTGGAAGCGGCGGGGAGGGCTGTGTGCCAAGCATTCCACTGCAGCACCCGGTAAGTAGGACAGTGTTGGCTGTACAAGAAACCTGGCAGGTCATACTCTCTGGGGGCCAGAATGACAGTGGAATTTGTCAAATCCATCAGGTTTGCAGGTTAAAAAATATCTAATGTTGAGTGACATTTAAATCGAAGGTTGATTTTTCATTGTAGCTACCTATAATCCTAGCAATTAGACTGGGAGGGGTCCCAGCTGCATTCTGGGTGTCACTCTGGAACACTGGTAATCAGAGTGTGGTCCATAGATCCCTCCCTGAGAACTTTTCGGGGATCCACAAAGTGCAAGTTATTTTTGTAATAATATTAAGACATTATTTGCCCTTTTCACTTTGCCAGTATTTACATTAATGGGACAAAAGTATTGTGAGCAAAACTGTGGTCACCTTAGCACAAATCCAGGCAGTGGTACCTAACTGCACCACATTCTCTCCCATCACTGGCAGTGAGAACACGCACAGATGGGTTCATCCTAAAGCACGACACTGTTTCAAGGGACAGCACTTGTGTGACTGTGCAGGGAGTAAACTAGCCTTTCTTAGAGGAACACCATCATTGCTGGGTATATGGTGGACATTTTCTCAAAAATGAATAGAGTGAGCCTGTCATTTCAGGAAAACAATTGATAGTATTTATTAACTGATAAAATAAGCTTTTCAGGTGAAAATTCGAGTCTTGGATAACTTAGCTATTTGAGCTTCACAGCTCCTAACCCAGAAGACATTTTTGTTGTTGTTATTAATGGGATTTCTTTTTATAATTGCATGACAAAGTACTTCAACATTTGGAAGAACTGTACAGTTCAGTGAACCAATATTTTCCAAATGACCAAATGCATATAGTGCTAAAAAATCACGCATGGGTAAAGGATCTATTCTAAGTGCAAGATAGATCAGTGGGTTTTAGTATAACAGAACTCATTGCTCTGATTTCAGACTGTGTGTTGCAACTACTAGTAACCTTTAAGAAACTATCACTTGTTGAATTTTAGTCATATTAAAGAATGTCCACAATTATCTGAAAAGGCTATTTTAAAACATGTCTGCCTTTTCCATCTACATATCTATGTGAAGCCAGATTTTCTTCATGTACTTCAACCAAAGACACACATGTCAGCAGACTGAAAGCAGACGTAGGCAGGTCCAGCTGTCTTCCAGAGCTAGACATTAATGAGGCTTGCAAAAATCATTAGTTTGTTTTAGGAAATAGTTTTTTCATTTAAATGTTTTTAATATTAACAAATAATGCATTCATTATTTTTAAACAAGTTAATCAATATTTAAAATTGTTTTAATTGCTGACATAAACATTAGATGTAACTCAAACAAAAGCTGTTTGAGGGCCTCTGATTTTACTAGTAAGTGTGTAAAGCGATCTTGTGATCGAAAGCTTGAGCATCGCTGTTACAGACTTTCTCCCTGGAGAACACTGTCCCAGACGCTGTTGGAATAAGATCTACCTCTATTCTAGGGATGAAATTTCAGCTTCAAGCTTGGGTTTTTTTTCTTACTTTGAGAAATAATTTTGCAAACATGGCTTTCCAAAACTTTATCCTGTTAGTTCCCCTTAGACTCACTGGACTGAAACAATTCATTTCTGCTGGTTTATCACTAAATCCTTATCATTCATAATTTATCTAGGGTGAACATTTGTCAGCCTTTTCTTTAAGGACGTGCTGTATGACTCCCTCTCAGATATGTAGTTTACTGAGTCAGATTTTGGTTTTAGAATTCTTTCCCTTTATTTGTTTCTGCATGATCTTTTCTGTGATGTTGTCAATGCTAAAACTGCTTTTCTCACAAACCGTGGATCTAGTTTCAAACATTGTGCCTCATCAGCTCCTGTTGTGTTAAGAATCCCCTCCCTACAAGTAGGATGGAGTGGTTTGTTATAAAGTGCTTTATTACTTATGATCCCTTGCCCTTTAAATAGATTTCCTTTTGTGTCAATAGATTTCATTGACCAGTCATTAGATTCAGATTACAGTACCCAGTGCATGGGCTATAACCGGAACCAAATAGGGTCCCAGAATTTGGGAACTAGGTCTGGAATGCCTTATAAAAATGATGAAGACAAATCAGGCTACACAATTATACTATCTAATAAAAGAGTAATATGCAAATTAACCATCACTCCACGACAAAGATGGCAGCACCCCTAGCGGCCGGGGCAGGACGCTGGTGGTATTGCCCTGGTAACATGAGCCCAGCGTCTGCGCCCCAGCTGTGCGGAGGGAGAGGAGGGGCCTCTGGCCAGAGGCCGGGGTGAGGGACGCTGGCGTTGTTGCAGGCCAGGCTGAGGGACCAACCCCTCCCTCGTACATGAATTTCATGCACCGGGCTTCTAGTCTGAATATAAAGATAAAGCATCACTGTAACATGCAGTGACAGAAGCAGGCTGGGCTGTGAGCCCCAGCAGCAGGAGACTCCGGGGCTCAGATTTTAAAGGCTGGTCCAAATATCTAGGTAGAAACATCCCCAAAGTGGCTGGAACCATTTCGTGTATTTCCTCAATTCTCTATTCGGGGACCTCTGAGCTGTCGTTTGGTGATCTGAGTAGATGACAGTACGATCCTGTGCAAAGACTATAGGTTTTGAAATAAAAATGAATCTAGGTTTGAATCATAGCTGCGTGATCTGATCTCATGTAAGTCACTGAACCTCATCTGTAAAATGGGAGAGTTGAAATGCTCTATTTATAGAAAGCACCTAGTATGCTACCTGTCAGTATCTAAATAACATTTCCATGATTACTATTATTGTTAGTACTCTTCCCTTTCAGATCTGCCTTCCTCTGTAAATGAACACATTAGCATCCTGGTCGGTTACCAAGGGTCAGCACTGAGTCAACAGGGTCGTGGTAAGATAGTCAGCTGCAGAGAAGGCAAGAGAAAGCCACGGGTCGCTTCAACAGAGTGCAGATCCTTGTAGCTTGCCTAAAGATGCCTGGTTCGTTGAGTCCCTTCACTTTTTGTTCCATTTTGATTTTAGTGATCTTTAGTTTCTATTTGTTCTTTCCTTCCTCTCTGTTCCTCCGAAGTTCTTGATGCTTCCAGATCTACTTTCCTACTAACACCTACCAACTAGCAACAGTCAGCTTCCTTACGGGACAGGAAACAAAATTTGGCACCTCTGACTTCTGGCAGCCAGAACATGCTGGTGATAGGCAGAGGTGCCTTCCAGAGAGGTCCTTGCTTTCTCTATGACACCACCAGCTCACACCTGCGGTGGGAACACCTGTCTGGAGATGAGCACTGCAACAGCCACAGGATCCAGAGCCAGACCTGCAGACCTGTGGCTAGGAGGTTGGAGTGGAGGGGCTCTCGTACATTCTAGGTGGAAGCAGCCCTCACAGCTTGTTATGCCTACAGCCTCCTTCTCCATCTTGTTCATGGTGTCTGCTTGGAGCACGTCCCGGTGTGCCACCCAAGAACTGCCCCTCACATCATAGCCTCCTAAAGAAATGGCACACATTCTGGAACATTCCTACACTTCAGCCCAGCACACCCCCTCTACTTCACTCCCTCCACTGTGAGCTTAAGTCCTAAGCTTGGCTCCTTTGCCTCAGGCCCAGCAATTCCTGGGTTGCATTCTAACCAGTTTTTCTTGTTAGGTTCTCAATGGGCATGGGGTTCTTAAGGGCTGGACCACTCCCTTGTTCTTTGTGGCTCCCTTCCCTTTATCACCAGGGTCTAAGAACCCATTCCCTCAGAATGTCTAAAATGAAATTTTTTTTAAAGCCCAGTTTTATTAAAAAAAACATTATCTTGTAATTACGGAATTTTTCTGCAGCGAATATGTATTACTTGAGTAATGATTATTAGGTAACAAATCATGATAATCCAAAACTGGGCAACATCTACTGCCTTCCAGTACCAGCCTGTGGCCCTGGGTCCCGGACTGGGCTTCTGCAGACAGAACACAGTGGTGTCAGACAGACACTGAGGAACCCCAGGTACAGGGCAGGGGCCTCTGATTTAAACTCTGTGCATATACCTCTACCATGGTAAGTCAAGTAGCAGCCACCTGAAAGCAGGACAAACTACACCAACAGTGATTTCTCCTGATTTTTTTTCTCTGAACATGAATTCATGTGTTTCCACTTCTTTAATGGCCTGTGGTGTTCATGAGTGTGTTCAGCTAAGCTGGCAGTTGTCTCATTGCAGTCACACCGGCGGCCGGAGCAGCAGCAGTGTGCCCCAGGAGGAAGGACCTCAGTGACCCAGTTAGCTCAGGTACAGCCTATTCCCATGTTCAGTTTTCTTGCCATGAAAACAGTGATCCTGAACATTTGAATCCCTCTGTCCACTCCCTTGTTCTAGAACACTAACCTGAAGTGTTACTATGGAAGAGGTTAGAAACAGACCCAGGCCATGTCTGTCTACCCTGTTGTGAGATTACCATGATGGCGCATACTGAAGAGCTGCTCTCCTAAGGAAACACAGGAGTGGCCTACAGTGCTGGGCTTTAAATGTGTGATAAAGAATTTACCACTTTCCCAAAAAGAGGAATAAAGGGAAGAATTTTGGGAACTGTTTTAAGACAAATATCAATATGAATTTGTAGACAAATCATTGATGATTTCTTTATAAATTTTCAGTGCTAAGATTTCAGCTAGGATGTGTGGAAATCAGGAGGATTCAACTTTTCCCACACACTTCCCCTCTCCCTTTGCAGTTCACTATGACCAGAGTCCTAAACCTGTTCCTTGGCCTCATTACCTGGTGTGTGCTCTGCTGGGAGCTCCCTGGGAACTGTCTGCTCACTGCGGTCCCAGTTGCGGTCCCAGCTGCAGGCTCTCAGGCCAACAGCTTACACTTTTCACAGAATTCTACGTGGAATTTGTCAATATTCAAGGATGAGTTTTCTTTTTAATGTATCAAACTGTTCTAAAAGTGGTATAAAAAAGAAAATATGAGTTTTTTTCCCACCTGGCTTACCACTAATTCAAAATAAATGGACAACCATAGAATAAAAAACTTTAGTAGTCTCTCTGACAGGAAAATGTAAAAGCCTCTTTGTCCAGCAGCAGGGCAGACTTCACGGTGCTGTTTGTAGCCTCATATTTGCATTGGGGTTAATAGTTAATTGAATCAAAGTGGCTAAGGACGGTAGAGACACAAAAACGCATGGAACAAGGCAGGGTGTGATATCCTTATTTAGGAAATGTCACCTGCTATAAAAGGTGTAACCTTATCCCAGTTTATTTTACATAGTAGAGAACCATGTATAATCAGAAAAAGTGGGAGTCATATATGCTTCTTGTTTGCTC